AAGAGTTACAAGAAGTGGTACGGAATTTCGGGTTGTTACATTATCCCCCGTTAAAGGGAATTTCGTCCCGAAATTCAAAGTTAAAACATGAGACAAGATACAAATCATGGATCTGGAAAGAGTTGTGGATACTTCTGTTTCATTGAGTCTTCCCGCTCCAAGTGAATTCCGGTCCCCGCTTGGCATTCCAGCGAACCTTCACTAACGGGATGCGACTTTGCTTTGTACGTTTGACTTCTCGATCCATGATTTCAATCGGTTCCTCCACAAAGTTTGGGTTTTCATTGATCTCGATCTCGTCTATGGGAATCGTTAGGGTTTCATCGGATAGGCACTTTTTGAGATTTGAAACATGGAAAACAGGATGAATGTTACTGAGTTTGTTAGGTAAACGAAGTTTACAGGCAACTGGACCGATCCTTGAGAGGATCTCGAAGGGTCCAATGTATCTAGGGTTAAGTTTTCCACGTTTGCCAAAACGTACAGTGCGTTTCCAGGGCAGACTTTCAACAGGACATGGTCGCCAACCTGGAATTCTAGAGGTTTCTGACGGTTATCAGCGTAACTCTTTTGGTGATCTCGTGAAGCTTTCAATCAGTTCTGGATTTGAATGATCTTTTCGGTGGTTTCGCGGATGATTTTAGGACCAGTGAGAGCACTATCGGGGACTCGACTCTTGGCTAACTGTGTATCCCCACCTCGGCCCAGCACAGAGGGGATCTGCACTTATGACCGTATAGGGCTTCGAACGGAGCAGCCCTAATGCTGGTGTGGTAACTGTTGTTGTATGAGAATTCGATCAAAGATAGATGTGTGTCCCATGACTTTCCAAAGTCAATGACACATGCCCTAAGCATGTCCTCCAGGGTTTGGATTGTTCTCTCACTCTGTCCATCGGTCTGAGGATGATACGTTGTGCTCATATCTAGTTTGGTTCCAAGGGCTTTCTGAAGGGACTGCCAGAATCTGGAGGTAAACCTGCTATCTCGATCAGAGATAATGGATGCAGGTACACCGTAGTCGAACTACCTCCTGGATGTAGATTCGCGCGAGTCTTTCCATTTGTACGATTCTTTGATCGGAATGAAGTGAGCGGATTTGTCAAACGATCGAAATTACCCAAATGGTATCGTACCCACTAGGACACTTGGGTAGTTTGGTGATGAAATCCATGGTAATCATCTCCCATTTCCATTCGGGATCTCGGGCTGTTGGAGCAGACCCGAGGGTTTCTGGTGCTCAACTTTGACTTGGCGCAAGTCAGACACTTGCCCACGAATGTAGCTATCTCAGCTTTCATGTTTGGCCACCAGTATTGTTTCTTGAGATCCAGGTACATCTTGTCAGAACCTGGGTGAACAGAGTATTTGGTTTTGTGTGCCTCCTCCATGACAATCTCCCTGAATCCTCCGGACTTTGGAATCCAGATCCGATCCATGAAACAATAGACTCCGTCACCTTGATCTCAAGTTTCTTTTCCATTCCTCTCAAGGTTTCGATCAACACGTTCTCAGGTTTGAGTGCTTCTAACTGGGCTTCTCGGATTTGCATGGGTAAGTTGGAATGGATAGTCATCGTCTGGTTCTTCACTTTGTGGCCTGCACTTTCCTTTCGGCTAAGGGCATCTGCTACCACATTGGCCTTGCCGGGGTGGTAACGGATTTCACACTCATAATCACTGAGTAGTTCTACCCATCGCCGTTGCCTCATGTTCAAGTCTTTCTGATCAAAGATGTGCTGCAGGCTCTTGTGATCAGTGAAGATCGTGCACTTGGTTCCGTAGAGATAATGTCTCCAAATCTTCAATGCAAAGACTACGGCTCCTAGTTCCAAGTCATGTGTGGTATAGTTGACCTCGTGTGCTTTCAGCTGTCTTGAGGCATAAGCAATCACTTTTCCTCTTTGCATAAGCACACAGCCTAAACCTTGATTAGACGCATCGCAGTAGACAACGAAGTCCTCTGTCCCTTCGGGTAGGGACAGAACAGGCGCTGCATAAGGCTCTCTTCAACGTTTGGAATGCAGTTTCTTGTTTATCACTCCAACAAAAGGGTACACCTTTCTGTGTTAGAGTGGTTAAGGGTTTGGCGATTTTGGAAAAATTCTGGATGAATCTCCGATAATAGCCGGCGAGACCCAAGAATTGACGGATTTCTGTGGGTGTCTTCGGTGCCGACCAATTCTCTATCGCTTTAATCTTGGAAGGATCCACGTGAATACCCTCCTCGCTTACCACGTGACCGAGGAAAGTTACCTTCCGTATCCAGAATTCACACTTGGAGAATTTCGCGTATAGCTTCTCGGATCTAAGGGTCTCCAACACTAACCTC